TGGTGTATGATGAGTGGTGTATGATGAGTGGTGTATGATGAGTGGTGGTTGAACAGCTGTTGAATGTCCGTAACACGGAAGTTTTGCACACTAAACTTCCTTTGATCACAAATATATGAAGTTGACCTGGGGTTGATTCATGATTAATCCCAATGGCCAAGGGAGGACTTGCATTCAACAGGCGAATTAGCCAGCCCAGGCAGCTTTTGAGTTGTGCCACGTCAAGGCACTTGAAGCTGGAGCTCCGTTTCCCCAGTACAATGATGCTGATTGCAGTAATTGTATGATGGAAGATGGGGCAATGTATGTTATGTGTTCCCAGATGCTATGACCAAGTGTGTGGATGGAGAATTGCGGACAGCCCACAAGGAGATGAGATAAGATAGTTCCACCCCACAACTAACAAAAGTTCCAGCACATCCCATCAAATCCCTGCAGCGCGAGCAAAACGAACTCCACCCTGCCCAGAGCGGAAACGATTCGACCAAGCTGCGGAAACGATTCGCCACAGGAGGGGCTCATTCGCACTGGGCAACGGCTTAGAGACCTAGATGTCCGGGAGATGAAGGCTGGGTAACTCTGGAAAGAGCTGGGTGTTCGGTGTTTGATGGTGTTTTGTAGTATGCGGCACCGGATGTTCGTCGAAGGGTATGGTATTTTATCATGTTCGCACTTACCCACCTCCACACTCAATGTTTTTTTTTTGGTTTGATTGTTGGCCGCGTGAGTTCTTTATTTTGCTGTGGGTCAAGTGCAACATTGCTTCAGGATGAGAGCTGGTTGGAAGTGTCCCAAACAAAATCCGTTGTATAGCAACAACACCCTTCGGTACCCTTTGCTGATTGATATGAAACGTGGATTCGGAAAGACCCGAGCGCAGCGCTGCGCTTCGAGTGGTGTTTTCTCCAGGCCTCTCGCGTCGAAGACGTTGCTTGGAAGTGAGGAAGAGTGGTTGGTGGAAGTGGCGGAGTGGTGGAAGTGAGCACTGCTCAGTCTACTGTTTGGCTTACTGCGATTGCGGTGAAGGTGAAGGCATCAGTCCTTGATGAACCACGTGGGCTTTATTGGTGTGCTTTTTTGGGCCGTTGTTTGGGAAAAGAGATGCATGGTCCTCAAAACAACCACGCGCAATCCCCACATAGCTGATGGGCCATGAAGGATCTACCTTGACAGGAAACCCTGAAAGCGCAACTCCACCCGCCTGCAAGACACCATGCCATGAACAAACCACCGGCTGCGTGGCAGAATCCAGACGGGAACTAGAAAACTCCCTTGGAGGTCATCCCTGCTTAGATGAACCGCCAATTCCTGCCAATCCTCAACCGCAGCGCTACATGAATTGCAGGTTGGGGCCTGGCAACCCTCCACTTGAGGCAGCTAGGGCGAAGCTAAGCGTCTCCCTTTTACAATCGTGACATGTGTGGTCGAAGTAGTAGCATCCGTCTGCATACGAGGTAAGCCAGACATTCCTCACTGAGGTAGAGCACATTTTGGCAAAGATCCCCGACAAGGACGTGCCTTGTCAGCCGAGCTTCCAGTCCGAGACCACCCTGCGGACCACCTTACCTCTATCTTCTGCGGTAGGTCACAGAAGATAGAGAGTTCATCGATATAAATTCACGTATATATATATATAATATAGATTCCAAAGAAGGAGAAAGAGGGGGAGACGCCTTTGACGAATTCTTGGACATACATTTTTGAATCTTTTTGACAGCACCCACATGCGGTGATCATCTTTCCACAGCAGCTCCATCAGCTCCATCCCCTTTTCGTCGGTTCTCAGCTCCATCCTTATGGCTTTCGTGCGATTTTGCACCGAGAAGAATCGATGGCGGAAAAACACATCTGAGTATCCCCCTTACTCAATGGCTTATCACATGAGTTACCTATTCCTTATAAATCTTATAAACTCATAAACGCTTATTTTAATAAAATAAAGAAACCTGACGGGACACATTGAGTAAGGGGGATATTTGCATGAGGAAGGGGCTTCCAAGGATCGAAGAGGAAGGTGGAACTCCTCCTGTCGTGATGGACCACCATATCGACCCATCACCACCTGTGCCGGTTGCGATGCTTGGGCCAAGCACTCGGCCAGCCAAGCTGGTGCACCACGTGCAAGCGGCTTCTTGCGCTTGCAACATCATGCAAGCCTCCCAATGGAAAAGGTTTGCTTGTGTTGTCAGTCACCGAGGCCTTCAACGCCTCACTGCAGAGTTTGATTTTCGACCATCGTAACTTGGAGAGCCAAAGGTTGGAAGGGTCACACTGCCGAAGCTCAAAGTCTCCGCCCAAAAGGAAGAATTCAAGAAGAGGAATTTCTTGGGCTGGATGGTGTGATAGTATCGTCAGTAGTATCGTCCTATTTCCAGTGAAGTCAGCTCCATGCCCGGAGCCACTGAAACCACCTACTGTAGTAGTGCTTCATGATCATCGCTGTACAAGTGATGTATCCTTTTGTTGTACTCCTGACCATCTCAGTCCAGTCCACCCCAAATCATCAGATATGATTCTCATTACTGCAGCAGCCGCTCCTTTCTTCCTTTTTTCCTTTCTTGACTCAAGACCATTTTGGGATTGCTCAGCCCGTCGCTTATCAAGCAAAACTTTGCAGAATGCGACTGAGCGATGTGAACACCCCCGACATGCCCCTAAGAATGCCTGAAAGGCAAGGAATGCATAGGAATGCGGAATGCACTTATTGTGATGGGAGTCGTGGTATTTTGGTTTTGGCACCCATGACTTTGCCATATCACATCGTAGCACCCGAAGATATCCGAAGATTCCCACACCAACGTACCACACGTGGGTGGGGCGCCCCCGGCCAACGCTCCACACCGGAAGGGTCTGGTTTGCTGGCCGCCTGGCGGGACCTTGACAGCTCCAAGCAGATGGGTGAAGCTGGCCGTGCCTGGGACCGGTTGAGGCTTCGCAGACCTGCCAGAAGGAATGGTGAATGGTACTGTCACTCGAAGATCAATGTACAGTAAGCTGTTCTCTCGAGCAATGTTACATTGTTCTCTCTCGAGGCAACGTGGTTTCCATAGATTCGATCAGATCCATCAGCGGTTCAGCTGCTCGATGCTGGCAGCTGTCCGCGATTTGGTAGCAGATCGGAGAGAAACTCTCAGGTGATGTTGGCCCGCTACTACGTAGCTCAATAAAGAAATCGACGATAGAATACGATAGAGGTTAGTCATCCTGTAGTGGATGGAACATGGGACAGTTCGATGGATCCTTGCAGGTGGCCTGAAGCCCCGTGCCCGGTGCGGGGCTCCGACGTTTTGGAACCGCGGATGCCGCGGTTCCAGCGGATCGGTGGGAACCTCCACCGAGGCCTCCTTTTTTGGACCTTTGCCGACCCAGGCAGCGGCGTCGCCGCTTGGACCTGGTGGGGAAGTGGTCCGGAGCGACCGAGAGCCAGACCGATGGATGGTTGAAGCTACATCATCGACGCATGTTCGGATGGCCAATGAATGTTCGGATGGCTTTTTTGGGGGGGGTCTGGGGGATGAGAACATCTCATGGACCGTCAACAGCCTAAATGCTACAGGAAACCATGGGAAACCAATTCACAGTTGACCACAGGCGAATTCCATGGAGACTTTGACTATTGAAGAGAGGTTTTGGCCTGACTTTGATCGGGAAGGAAGGAGAGAGGGTTGCTCCCAGCTGCTTTTGGATCGCTAGTGATCACCATGATTCCTGTCCAGACCTGCCTGTGTTTCCCTTCCTTTGGAAAGATCTGGCGAACAAGGTCTGGAAATGCTGGGATTTCTGACGGAGGCGCGCGACATGGGTCCGCTGCGCAGGGAAACCCGCAGAAACATGCCAATGGATGCCAATGGCATGGAGAGAACTGTGGGCATTTGGTGCTCCCTGAAATGGATAGAGAAACCATGTTTCCTCCAAACATGGATAGAGAAACCATTTTTTCCTCCAAACATGCCTTGGAGCTACTAAAGTTATCTAAAGTTGTTAAGCTGTTTGGACTTGATTTTGGGACCCGTGAAAGAGTTGGGTTCGGCGGGTAAGGACAAAACAACTCAATGCGTGATGTGGCAAGATTCTCTCTGCAGGCCTAGTGTCGGTCGCACGGGAGAAGTCATAGAGGAACAGATCTTGTCTCAGCACAATTTGGTGAAGTTGGTCGGCTGGGCTTCTAGACGCTTTTCATCACTTTTTTGTGTGGGGTCTTTGCATCTCTTTGGCCCTCCTGCGGACGGCACCTGTCAGGGCAGTCCACAGCTGCAGGTGGGATCTCCTTCTGGGCTGGCAGCCTCTTGGTAGCAAGAGGACTGGACGATTCGGAATTCGTGTGGGGGTTCCGACGTGGACGATTTGAGGGGGGAGAATCAGGGAGAGTCAGGCAGAATCAGGGAGAACATTAGACTTTGTCTGCCCCTTTGTCCGGCAACAATTTTGGTTATGCAGTGCCGGAAGAGTATCGTGTATATAACTCCCGTAACTCCAGAATGCTGCATTTCATGTCACAGCACAGCATGTTCAAAGAGTGTGTAGATTGGTCGAAGAGTCTCAATGATCCATCATTGGCAATGGGAAGCACCCCGACAAGATGAAATGTATCATTTGGGATCATTTCAATGTTCCCAAGGTTCACTCTCAGCAGAGAGGAAAGGATGTGAAGCATCTTTCCAGCTTGACTCGAATTCTTAGGTACTGACGTGTGAATGTGCGCCAGAGCGGTATGTTGTGACATGTTGAGTAAGTAAGGACGATATATAGAACAACTGAACCTTTAATGACGATGTCTTAGCCTTCCCAACTCTTCCGAGGCATTCCAAAAACCAGACAGGGCGGAAGCACTTCGTGGGCACTTCGGTTTCAAAATCTGGTGACTATGAGACTGGCGCTGCCAGTCTGGGTTGGCTGACTGGTCGAGAAAGATGGTCCGATTCTTTTTAGAGAATTCACAGGTTGGTTTTCTGGCAGAGGCGGGCAGAGCCGTCGAGAACACCCTCCGGGATGTCAAGTCCTTTGCCCTTGAGCCAGCCATTTTGTGCGGTTCCGATTCAGACGCAGGGGGTGGATGTCCCACAATCCCTTCCGAAAAGCATCTACACCTGGCTGCCACGTCCATGGAAGGAATATCTTAAGTGCACAGAGTCCCGAAACAAGGAGGCGATTTGTGTCGTGCATCCTTTGCCTGAGTCACGAACTTGGTGCATGTGAGTTTTAAAGGACACGCCCTCAACAGGCCGAACCTTTTGCAGCTTGAGGATTGGATTCATCTCGATGGGTTCGGTCTCACCGAGGGATTTGATTCACGCTCGCCACAATGTCTAGAAACTGTTGCACCTCGGAAGGGCCAAAACCGGCAACGACGATGGATGCCCGTTTTCAATCAGCAGTTGGACGATCCAAAATACGGACCGATGGAGATCCGAAGCGTTCGGATCGCCGGTATACCTGGCACCTTCGCGGGATTCTTTTTGGGGGCAAACTGAGAAGAGACGTGATTGAATCACATAAACCATCATTAAACATGATCTTCAGTGAGGTGGCTTCCAACATGGAGGCCAGCCAACCAAAATGATCATGGCAAGGAGCCAGAGAACATTGCGGGGGTTATGTTCCAACATATTCCAACCAAATGGATGGCAAGAGGCCATGCACATCTTGTTTTTGATACTAAGGGAGTCTTGTGGAGCACTTTGTGAATCCAGAAGGTTGGTCTTCAGCGAATTCATCCCGAAACTCGACCCCTTCTGCTTTTGCTGTGCCGGAACTCCCCATAATCTCCGGGTGGTTGCAGGCTTCCGAGGTGCACGCCGCGTGCGTTGGCTGATGGTCGTAGCGAAAGCGGCGGAGAATGGAAAGCGGCGCCCTCTTAAACATGGGCGCCCCAGAACGTCCGAGACGCCCAAACCGAGACACCACAGCCCATTGGTTTCAGGTTGTTTCGCACTTGGACCGGGATGACCAAAAGTCACAGGGTACGAAGAACAAGCGAAACCACATGGCAGAACCCCAGCACTTTTTTCTTTTTGGAGCTGGTCAGATCAACCGCTGTGTAATGCGGTGATAGTGCAATTTAGTATATATAGTGAATGGACCAAACCCACCAATAAGTAGCATCCCCTGGACACTTTAGGGATGACCCAATCTTTGTTTCAACTCCACTGATTCCACGATTGCAGAATCGGTTCTATGCTCCACCAGGTTGTGTTGGAGTCTGGTATCCTCAATTGGAGCGTTTCGGCGTGCGTCTGGAGTCACAACGTCGGAACGTGGATTACGCTCGGACATGGTCCGACGGGAGATGGGCTTCAAATGAGGCCTCTTGAAATGAGGGTGAGGTGAGATCTTGAAGAAATCAGCATGCCCTTTTTACTTGACAACAGCCAGGGAGCTCTCTTCTCAAACCGCGATGCAACATGGAACCTGCATCCAGATATCCAGCAATCAGCAGAAGGCAGACAGAGGAGGATGTTAAACTGAAAAGCCCGCGTGCAAAACTTTTTGTCATTTGTAGAGGTGCTGGGATAGAACATGATAGAACCGAACCTATATTATGTTCAACACTTTTTGCTGATTTCGGGGGTTCACTTGTCGATCGATATCTTCAGGGTTGGCAATGGCAGTGGGTTTTCGAGTCCAATTGGTTCCCAAGGTTTGCATTCTAGACGTGACGCAGACGCTTATGAACTGTTTGGCCTACATGACAGCTACAGGGGCTCTCTCGCTTTGATTTTGTATGCTTCTTTATTTCTTGCAGCTTGGCCCCAGTTGGTCATTGAAGACCATCGCTTCCCCAGTTGTGGCGAGAGGGCGTTGGCGCTACAGCGAATGCTGCGTCCATGCCCGGTCTTTCGGGCAAGACGGACAGTGGGATGTCGACCAAGTGCATCCAACTGCCCAAGTGCCCTCATCAAATCTGTGGAATTTTTCAGCGACCTGAGCGACGCCGGTCCAGGACGTGCCCAAGGAGACCCCGTGCTTGCGCCAGATGACCTGGCAAGACGCCTAGCCGGCCTAAAGACGTGACATGTGCGGAGACACAATCAAAGACACGGGTGACGAGGGACTAATGATTATGGGCCTGTATTGGAAGAATCAGGGAGGCCAGTGGGTTTTGGATGATTTTGTATGTTTTGGTCACTGCCTGTTTTTCCATAGGGTTCGTTGGGAGGTCTCTCTATTCCACGCCCATACGTAGCTAGAAAGTTCAAGGCATGCAGGTGGAACATGGTGGAACACAGGGCTGTCTGCTGGGAGAATCACGTCATGCTTCTGATTGGTCACAGTGTCACAGGTCTGTAACCAGTGCGGCTCGGTGTTTGCAGCTGCACAAAACAGGGAATTCACAAGCAAATACGGGTCGTTCTCGTTACGGGTGGTTGCACATTGTACCAGTGTGAGGTGGTGAATTATAGACTTACAGTGGCTTCAGAGTAGATTGCACAACCCGCAAGATGTCCTTCTTGGGGATTGTGCCACCTACTCTGAACCCACTATATATATCTATACACTTGTCATGTACACAGTCCAAAGGTCACGTTCTTCGATGTCAGAGCCTTTGATCACGCAAGTCTCTCCTCCTACCTTAAAAAGGCACCGTGCTGGTGCCTTTCTAGCAGGGGCATTTCTTTGATTGGACGCTCAGTTGGCCTTGGGTGTGGCTCAAAACGGCAAAGGCCCTCCGGAAGCTCAACGGCAACGGGACAATCCTTGAATCGGGATGCGCCGAGAGTGGAACTTTGTTGAGCTGCAGCCGGTTCCTCTCGTTTGGACAGAGTCGTGAACAGAAAAATTGCAGGCTCGAACAGTCAAATCCAGCACTGGTGCATGGTCGGTGTGCCTTTGACGGACTGTTTTTGTGGTTCGCCAAAGCCATGCAACTTGCACCCCTGTCAGGCTTGGGTTGACAAGATGTTGAATGTCAATCTGGATCGGGGTCTGAAAACAACAGACATGTCCACATACGATTCTGCAGGCCCCGGCAAACCTGGTTGATGACCCAATCCTGATACCCAGCGATGGCTCGGCTGCGGCGAAGCACCCTGCGATCCGGGATTTGCGGGGCCCATGATTCGGACCGTGCCACGAGCGCCCTGTGATTCGTAGGCACTAGGAATTCTAGATCTATGATCTACAATGATCTACGTAATTTATATACTGTGGTTGAATCACATACTAAACGAAGCATTTTCGCAGCACATATATCTAAACAAGTGGGAAGCTTGGACGACTCCAGCACTGAGAGACACCTTGAAGCATGTACATCGATCAAGATGCTATCCATTCTTCAGAGCGACAACTGAGACTTGCCTCTCAGAGTCAGATCAACATTTGTTTGGCGGTGTCACTATAATGTATCCTAATGTAGACTCTTGATTTCGAACACCCACCAGTTGGATTCTAAAACCATGTACAACTTCTTCATCTGGGGGGGTTGTACTAATCAAATCTATATAATCAAGATTCTACATTGAGAGGGTTGTCAACCTGAGTGCAGTGTACTGCGCTGGACGTGCTGAAGCTGCTCGTTGGTCGGACACGGCATGGTCTGAGGGTTCTCGTCGGGTCGCATGGGAAGTTGCGCCGGCCACCGCATGAGGGTGATCAGCGACCACAGCTGTGTCTCCATGTGGTGCTGTTGTTGGCACATATGTTGTGAGGCCCCTAATTATGCACGTGTTTAAAGTTTACATTGCTGGTTTATGGGGTGTCAGTCTGAGAAAGGCTCAACACAACCTAACCAAGGCTAATAGAATTATAATGGAAGGAGTGCCCCGGCATCAGAGATTCACAGCAGGA